CAGGCAGGCGCGCAGGCAGTGCTAGGGGGGAGGAGGGAGGCAGACAGTGTAAGGCAAACATCCACGCCCCTTCGAGGGGTTGAAAACAAACAACCTTTGAAGGGGCGTGGACTGTTTGCCTTACACTGTCTGCCTCCCTCCTCCCCCCTAGCGCTGCCTGCGCGCCAGCGCGCCAGCGCGCCTGCCTGCGGACTATGAAAGCAGCCATTGCCTTTCACCGAGGGCGCCTTGAATTCATCCTCTAGAGAAACCTTGGAAGCGATAGGTGAAGCGACCAAATTTTGCGAAAACTTCGTCCGCTAAATTTGCACCTCCTTACTACTAGACACAGAATGTTGGTTAATCGCTGCAATCTTCGTACTAGGTCTAACAGTACACATCTTATTTGCCACTTTAGGTACTGTTATAGGTGTCAGTGACCCTAGGAAAACCAAAGCGCATCATTTTTTCATCATCATTCACGACTTCTCGTAACAAATATAGCTAAATACGTGGGGCGCGGATGCATGCACTTCACGCCGATTACGACAATGTAAAGGATCTCATTCAACGAACCGATAATAACAGAGTTTGCTCTTTCACTCAATATCCGAGAATTAGGAGGAAAGAAAGAAATGCGCCAGCAACAACACACCATCTACTCAGCAGAAGTAGCGGAATGCAAAATGTACCCTGGGGCAAGCAGATGCGTAGAGACGTGCGGGGAATTCGCAGGTCCTGTTTTTACTCGAATTCCAACACTGCTTCTCACAGAATATTGGTAAAACCACTGAACTGCAAAGCTTTTGAATTATTCCGATACATGTGCAGAAAGACTGGACAGAAGCTATCAAAATGGAAGTCACTATGGACGATACGTATATGATCGAGTAGTTTAGTAGGATCGGCTGAAACTACAAAACTACTTCAAGTTTGCGCCCCAACAATATGCACCAGAGTCGTTCAAATCGCCACAAATTCTGCCGCGCAATGTTCCGCGCGCTTCCTAGGACGCACGACGTAAGTACCCATACCCCAGAAACAGTAATGCTCGGGTTGAAATGCAATTCTTAGATTGGCACCACAACGTTGAACTGCACATTCAACAAATAAATTGCAAATGAAACCTTGCCGAATCAAAATCAACATGCACACGCGACGAGTCCGACATCACAAAAGAACTTGTTTGAATTCAAAAAAAATCACCAGTTAAAACACCATGCTGAGAACTAAAGAAACACAGGGTTTTAGCGCTCTCTGCGTAAACACCACATCTTGTCTCCTCAGTAGTCGTAAATAACTTTCACCAAGGAATCGAGACTGCACATAAAAGAATAAGCAATCACAACTGCGCCATCAAAAACGTTCAGTTGAAAGAATGGTATCACTGCTCCCAAGGTGTGGTACCTAATATTTGGTCTACTTAGAAAGAAAACGCCTCAGAGGAAATACTTTCTGGACGGCATTCCCTGTTAGTATCATGCGCATCTGTAAACCCGGAATAACTCCACTATCTCCCAAACACTTCAACTACTGGTGTGCACGATATCGTGCAGTTAGACGAAATACTCCTACGAAGGAGTATGAATAAATTCCCATCTCACATATTTGATGTTGTTTTGTTGTTGATATCTTATACAAATCTTTCTTAGGATTTTTTTCTGAAATTTTTAGTGTATTTCCTTCTCTTATTTCTTTTTGTTATATTACTTCTGCTTGACCTGTTTCGTTATCTAGAGAGAGAAATAAGGTGGAGTGATGAATAAATGGGAAAAAAAAGAAAAGAAAGGGCTACCCAGAGGAGTGGGATAATTTAAAGGACGCAGAGAGGATTAGCTTAGGTCCCACACCGAAAATACATCTAAGCGCCGGAAGAGAGAAAACATGGCCTAAAATTGGAATAAAAGTTCATTTATTTCATTGGAAGTCGGAGTAAGTGGATTTCCTCTTTTGCTTGGGAGCATTTTCCTTTT